CAACAACAACAACAGCAGCAGCAACAACAGCAGCAGCAGCAACAACAACAACAGCAGCAGCAGCAACAACAACAGCAGCAGCAACAACAGCAGCAGCAGCAGCAACAACAACAACAACAACAGCAGCAGCAACAACAGCAGCAGCAGCAGCAACAACAACAACAACAACACCGCACCTTTTTTGGCCCCCCCAGTCCGGCGCCCCCAGCTGCTTTGTTTTGGGCTTGGGACCGGAGGCCCGAAAGGCCGAGGAGGAGCGCCAAGCCAAGGAAGCGGCCATCCGCGCAGAGATCGAGGAGTCGATCTCCGCGTTTTTCTCTTCTTGGTTTTTTTGTGGGCTTCCTTTTCAACTTTGTTCTTTTTTCTACTTCTTGGGTTTTTCTTCTTTCCTCCAGGCTCAGTCAGAGACTTTCACGGAACCAGGGGATTGGGTTTTGTCCGCGATTTTTGGGTAATCAGGCAAGGCTTAGTTGGCGGTTTGGGTTGGTGGTTTGGGGTTTGACCCCCGCAGCACCACCAAGCCACCAACCCAAACCACCAATCAAGGGAAACCGACCTCTGCAAACAGTGTTTTTTCCTTTAGTGTGGGTCCAGTTCGGAAAATCCGACCTGTTTCAACCAAAGGTTACAGTTTCAAGATCCAAGCAAATACCCGTAAAGTTTTGGATCGATGCCTGCAATTCGTTTTTCGCAACAACGGGGACTTGGAAGTGGCGTGTGTATTCTTGGACCAAACAGAAGTCAGCACGATCATGGTCAATTGCGGCTGGATGGCAAGCGGAGGCCAGAACCAGTTTCTTCCTTCTCCTCTGAACATCGAGCTGTGCTGCATCCCATGGCCATGCGTGAGCGCCTTTCTCCAGGCGGCCAAGATGAAGGTGAACCAGCGCACGGATGAGCGGGGCTGCCTCATTTGGGAGGCGCGGGCGGGGGAGCCGCGGGGGTTTGAGCTGAGTACGAGCGGCAGACGCCGACAAGAAAAATGGAGAGTCGTGGCAACAGGACGCTCTCAAAAACCTTTGTTTACCCAAGATCGAGAAATCCGCGAATGGCAAGGAGAATCAATTCCCAACTTTAGGAAAAAACGGGAACAGGAAAGGGCGCCAACTCCAAAACCAGACGCCGATGAAAAGGCAGCCTGTCACGAGTTCCACAGAGTCGTGCTCTTGAGGTGGGTCCGCAGATCAAAGCGTCCAGGGGTCCGTTTATTGATTAGGGCTTGCCCCATTTTGGGGTGACCGTAGTTTTGACAACCGCACCCATCTGGTTCGCAAGTTAAAGGAGTTGACGCACACATCAAAGGTTCCACAGACCCCGAAAATGAGGGTACGGGATGGCATGCATGCCGCAAGATCAGGGATATCCTGGCGACGACTTTCTTTCCATAGGCCGCAGGCAGGGGCTTGGAGGGTTTCAGGTGGACTTGCTGAAGGATGAGGGCGGAGCCTTCGGCTTTTCCCACAGCAACGGTCAGGCTGAGTCGCGGGCGCGCGTTCGCGCCGGATTTTCGGAGCCGGACGTTTTGGGGCACGCCGGCGGTGTAAGGTTTGGGGGTGGAGGAAAGTTGGTTGCTTGGCTTGAGACAAGTGCTAGGTCGAGCACAAATCCAGCGACACCTCCTTGTTTGAGTTGATGTTGAGGCCAAGATGGCGGGAAACCTGATCTAGAGCTGGCTTTCACCTGATGTTAGAGAGAAGGCCCCAGATTTCTGAGGCATACCTTCCGGCAAGGCCTCGCGCTGCAAGACTTGTGGCCTTTTTCTGCCTGCCTGCCTGCACGGCGACCTCGCCTGCTTTTCGCTGGGGTGTTTTTGCCCTTGCCTCCTTTCATGGGGCGGTTTCCGAGTTTGTTTGCTAGGTCCCCCAGCTAGGTACGCTTTCGCACCCTTTTTTGGGGGAGGAACCCTACTAAAATAGACGTCCTGAACAAAGATGGTACCAACTTCTTCTTTTTACTGGAGGACCTAGTTTGAATCTTCTTAAAAGGCTTGGCGATTCATCGACGGCCCCCAGATGGGATGTGCGAGTCGCGACCGAACGCCACCGAACTCGGACCTCGAGCGCAGGTGGAGTTCAATCGCGCGAGGGGCCCCCATGGGGGCACTGAGGGGTCGGCCTCCCAAGGGGGGAGAGGATGCGGGCCCGGGCCCCTCTACCACCAGAATGCCTCTGATCAGAATCCCTTCACCTGATATTTTCCATGTCTGAGCCATATTTTTTGAAAAAAAACACATCCAGCATGGTTGCATCAATGAAAGTTGATGAATTCTGCATGTGCTGTGGACACTGTCGAAAGTCTTTGCACTATGTAAAGGCTCGTGTGCTTTGATCTGCGGCGTTCATCGCTTTGCCTCCCGGTCCCACGAACTGAAGTGACTCGGTTAAAGCTGTCCAGCTGGATATCACTTTGCCTCATGTTGTTCTCGTGCACGGTTGGCACAAGGTTTGACATATTCAGCATCCAATCCGGGGGCATTACGTATATGGTTTGGATGCGTTTTGTTCCTTGTGTTGATCCTTTCTTAGTCTTTCAGAATATCCTGCGATCCACAAAAGCCACGTCCAAACCGTTTTGGCTCCCTGGCTCTTCTTGGGGCGTCCGACGCTGAAGGTTTGTATTGCTATCGCGCAGGATGGGGGGCCTTAAAACGAAGAGATCAGGACTATGGGCTCTCAAAAAGGGAGCCTCAAGGGCACCCTCAAAAAGACATCCCAGAAAGTATCATCAAAAAGGCACGCCAGGCTTTCTCCATGTGTTCTCAACTGGCTTTTTGCAGGCCATCATGTTGCATCATGTTTGCGCGTGCCAAGCGCAGACCATTTTTGTGCTGCTCTGGGCGAGCCGCGCTCATTCCCTTTCCTTCCCCAATGGCGAATGAGGGTGCGGCTTGTGCGCCTTGGTCGAGGTTAGCCTTGTATGGCTTCGGGCCAAACCAGCAGCCAAATCCCACCCCCCAGAGGCAGACTGGTCGTTTCGTGGCGAGCTGCTGTCCGGAGTAAGGAAGCACGCAACAAGCGAAAAGGATTCCCTCTAAAATGGACCCGCCCATCTACCTCGAGGTTTGTTCATCTTGGATTCCCGTCAATCCGTACTGAGAAGAAGCATCTACGATCCACGCAGCTGGCATAGCTGCAGCCTCTTTGTGACCTGGTTGGTCAACCGTACCTCGCTGGCGCACGTGGGATTTTGTCCGCTGGGCGATTCGGATCCAAGAGGCTTTGCTGGGCCCATGGGAGCGTGTCCCAGTTAAGAGGGAAGTCGGATGAGTGGGGGGAAGGGACCCCCCAAAAGAGTGACTCCAAAACCTGAAAGAAGAAACCCCCCAAAAGAGGGAGCTGACATGTCACTTTCAGTGGGAAAGTTGCTCGAAGTTTGCTTCGGCGCACTCAGAATCGATTTGTTTGAGCCAACTTCACGGCTCAGGGAGACGGATGGAGGCAGCTGATCAACCTGACGAGAGATGAAACCTTCCTTGCGCGAATGGCTGCTACGCCATTTGGAGGCGCCAGGGATCTGGAGGCGCAGTTGAGCCACAATCAAAACCCGGTAAAGGGTAAATTGGAGGGTGGTAAGGGACAATCCCAGCCATAAATAGCTGCGGCCGCCTTTCTGGGTCGACCATTTTTGTACAGGTTTTGATTATGACCAGTTGACGTTTTGGGGTTCCAAATATTTTCCCTCGCTCCCCACGTTGCCATGGCACCTGACCACTGGGGGGCCGTCAAGCGGTTTTGGAAGTGCCATTGGCAGCTGGCCGGGCACGGCATGGGAGGTTTGTCTTCTTTATTCTCGTGCTCGATACGTCAAAGTTGGGACCCCAGAGCGAAAGTCTTTGACTCGACATCAAACAAATCGGGGTCACTGAAGCTGGAGGAACGCAAATACAAGCCATGCAAGCTTTTTTGCGGGAAGCTGCTGAGGCGGATAACCCAGCTGTTACGAGGTGCCAATAGCACATAGCCCTCATTTCCATGCAGGCTGGCGGCCTCTCGAAGGAGCTCACCTTTCGCCAGCGCCTGGGGATAGCGGCTGCTGAACTGGCTCGACTTTAAGAAATTTAAGCGTGCAGAAAAACCCGGCACAAGAGCGTCCTGTAGCTTGTTGCAGCCGCAAGGTAAAGAAATCCCGCTGATTCTCTGCGAAGTTGGGTTTTTGGGCTGTCCCCAAGAATCCGCTTTGAAGAGATTGTGGTGCGGGACTCCCATGGATTCCGCCGGAGTACTTCGGCTGATGTGCTTCCTTCGCCCTTCTCAGGGTGCCAACCCAAATTCCGTGGAGCGATCTCGTTCCAGGCAATTTTTGCCTCACTTTATCTGGAAAGGTCCTTTGGGCCGATGGGCGCAGGAAAGGCCACTGCAGATGCCGGAGGACATGGAACGGAATCAAATCCGAGCAGAAAAAGGATGTGCGCTTTCAGCATTTTGGGCACCGGAATTTGCGCGTCCCCTTTTGCGGAACAAGGAAGGCGTCCATCTTGGAGGTCTCAGAGAAACGCAGAAGGATCGGAGCATGCCAAAAGTATGGGGAGGAGGGCCTGGGTCCGTGAAATCAAAGGATCGAGGGATTCTCACACTATTTTTGGGTCATTCGGAGGATGTCACTTTTAATGGAACCGTTCTTAGAGATGGTTTGGTTGGTCCAGGTTTTTTCCGCATGCCGAGATCGCCACAGGCAGTTCACTGGCTAGACATGTTCAGAGTGGCAGAGGGTCTGCCAATCAGGTAAGTTTTTGGAAGGGTTTTCTCACCACTTGAGGAGGCGACCACTTGGGACACTGAGTGCTTAGTAACCCTGTAAACTCACGGAACGGGTACTTAAGTCACGACATACTTACCTCAATCCGGCAACTTCGGGGGTCAAAGAATGGACTTTTCGATTCGCAGATTTGTCTCACTAGCCCGCTTGGCGACGGTTCACTTCCCCTTTCCCTTCCGTGGCGCGAAGCGATGGCACTGAATCTCCTGAGCCTCGGAGATCCATTGGGCGGCTTGTTGCGATCCATGGGGCATTGCTGTGGCGTCGTGCCCAGGTACCGCTCCACCTTCATCGACGCAGAGGAGTGCATTTCCTTCCTGGGGAGCGCCAGGCCCCAACGTGCCAGCAGTGCGCCGCCGGCTTGCCCAGAGAGCGGAAGCCGCGACGCGATGCCGCGTGGCTGACACGGGCGGGGGGGGCCACAAAACATCTCTCGGGTCGCCGGGCGAGACCCACTTCCCGGGAACCTCCTAGTGGCAGGCTTTGGGTTGGCATGCTGGCCCAGCGTGCTGAGCAGCTGCACACAATGCTGCGCTTGAAGCAGGAGCAGGCACGGGTTCACATGGGTTCATACGGGCTCATATGGCAGGGGTCATTGTTGTGACTGTTTCTGGTGGTTATCAAAGTCAGAAAATGGAATCGGCTGTTTCCCTTTAACCCACCCACTTTCAGGGTGACTTTGATCCTGCTAAAAAACAAGAAACAAAAAACGGGCCAGTGCTTGGGTTCAGTCGCTTCCTGGTTTCTTTGCGTTGGGTCTGGATGCCCGGGGATTCTTTGGATGGGCATTCCAAGCGCTTGGCATCGCTTGGCGCTTTGGTGCCAGGCGCCGCCGCGCGAGCTGTGGTCCGAAGCGTCGGACACCGACGCGGAGGCCAGGCAGTCCAAGGAGCCGAAGACGCGTGCGGGGAGCCCGGTGAGCCCGGTGAGCCCGGTCAGCCCGGTCAGCCCGGTGAGCTCGGTGAGCTCGGTGAGCTCGGTGAAGATGCGGGACCCGGCCCTGTGGCCGAGTGCCGGTAGCCTGGGCCACCCGGAGATCTGCCGGCGGCCCTGCGTGTACTTCGCTGCCGGCGCTTGCAGCAACGGCGCCCAGTGCGAGTTCTGCCACCTTTTTCACGACCAGCGACCCACCCACTTGGACAAGAGGCCGGCGCCGCGGATTTTTTGCTTGGGCCCGGGTGGGAGCGGATCTGAAGCCTGGCGTTGGGCTTTTGCCAGGCAGCGCGAGATGCTGAACAGCCTCCCGGAGCCCCAGCTCATGGCGCTGCTGCTGCGCTACCTGGAGGCTGGTTGCCTTGTGGCGTGCGCTGTTTGGCAGTTGGTAGGTCCGGAAAAGATTTGGAGAGACCTTGTATCATCTACGCATCTAACGTGCCGAGGCCCAGGCGCGCGCTCGCGGGTTCATCTCCGAGGCTGCGGAGCTTCTTGCGCTACTGCGCCGCCAGGCGCGGAGGGGCTTGTTAGGCGTGGGGCGACGGTGGCACCGGTGGGGCGCAACTCTATCAGCCTTGTGCGCAGTTTGTGTGAGACGTGCTCCCTTAGGCATTGGCAGCGGGCCAGCAGCTGGCTGAGCCCAATGTGCCCGAGCGTGCGTGGCCCAAGCTTGCTGCTCGGCCTGCAGTGCGGGTGAAGCGAGATGGGCTGGCAGTGGGGCAACTGTGTGTATGTGTGTGTGTGTGAGTGTGTGTGTGTGTGAGAGTGTTTGTTTGTGTGTGAGTGTTTGTGTGTTTGTTTGTTTGTTTGTTTGTTTGTTTGTTTGTTTGTGTCTGTCTGTCTGTCTGTCTGTCTGTCTGTCTGTCTGTCTGTCTGTCTGTCTGTCTGTCTGTCTGTCTGTCTGTCTGTCTGTCTGTCTGTCTGTCTGTCTGTCTGTCTGTCTGTCTGTCTGTCTGTCTGTCTGTCTGTCTGTCTGTCTGTCTGTCTGTCTGTCTTTCTTTTTGTGTGTGTGTGTGAGTGTGTGTGTGTGTGTGTGTGTGTGTGTGTGTGTGTGTGTGTGTGTGTGTCTGTGTGTGTCTGTGTGTGTGTGTGTGTGTGTGTGTGTGTGTGTGTGTGTGTGTGTGTGTGTGTGTGTGTGTGTGTGTGTGTGTGTGTGTGTGTGTGTGCGTGCGTGCGTGCGTGTGTGCGTGCGTGCGTGTGTGCGTGTGTGCGTGTGTGCGTGTGTGCGTGTGTGCGTGTGTGCGTGTGTGCGTGTGTGCGTGCGTGTGCGCGTGCGCGTGCGCGTGCGCGTGCGCGTGCGCGTGCGCGTGCGCGTGCGCGTGCGCGTGTGTGTGTGTGTGTGTGTGTGTGTGTGTGTGTGTGTGTGTGTGTGTGTGTGTGTGTGTGTGTGTGTGTGTGTGTGTGTGTGTGTGTGTGTGTTTGTGTGTGTGTGTGTGTGTTTGTGTGTGTGTGTGTTTGTGTTTGTGTTTGTGTTTGTGTTTGTGTTTGTTTTTGTTTGTTTGTTTGTTTGTTTGTTTGTGTGTTTGTCTTTTTGTTTGTTTGTTTGTTTGTTTGTTTGTTTTGTTTGTTTTGTTTGTTTTGTTTGTTTGTTTGTTTGTTTGTGCGTGTGTGTGTGTGTTTGTTTGTTTGTGTGTTTGTTTGTGTGTGTGAGAGAGTGTGTGTGTGAGTGTGTTTGTGTGTGTTGATGTCCTGGCCGTAGCTTGAGGACTACACGATGAGGAGGATGACCTTCCAAGCCTTGGTGGGCTTGGCGCTGAAGTCGCGCCCCATCTCTCACGAGTTTGTGGAGCAGGTGGCAGGGGCCATGGGCCGCATGCGCCGCGCGCTGCTCGTGAGCTCATGCGCTCGTGCGCGAGCCCAGGAGGATTGAAACTTCGCTTTGGGTAGGCGCCACTGAGATTAATTGTTTTCTGCATGCAGATGGATGATTTTTCCAGGCACTTGCAAGTCCGATTCCACCAGCCAACGCACGCATATACCCAAGTTTCGTTGGTTGTGAGGAAGGTTGCTTCAGCCATGCGGAGCCAATGGAAAAATCATCTGAAGTAAGCGTCATGCCGCTCTGATCTGCACAGATCACGAATCACAGGAATCGCTTGGCGCCGAGTCACCTGCCGGCCGTGGCTGGCCCTTCCAGGTGCAAGCCTGCCGATCCGGCGTCCCGCGTCCCTCCCATAGACCGGTGAACACATGGCCATGGGTCAAAACCCAAATCGTACCCCCAGTGAACATCCCAATCCCCACTGACATAGACCAACATGGGTGGTGCACCAAAAGCCCCAAAATGGGATCCCATTGGTTTTGACCCGCAGCCACATATTTTTCCAAGCCACATGCTGCAAGGGAGGTTGCTTGCAAGGAGCTGGGCTCCTGCCACTTCAAGCTCAGTTTGCAGCCATGCAGCGCTGGTAGAAAGATTTGGAAGAAAGCAAGCGCTTCTGCCCAGCTCACTGATTCTATTTACGGCTCGGTGCACCTTTCCTGCAGGATTGAGTGCCAGAGTGTCACTTTCAAAGCTTTGACCACTTGTCTGGTACATACTGTCAACAAGCTGTGCGTAGGAAACGGCCTGATTTAGCCTACTGCGCCCCACGCATCTTATCACCAGGCTTGGTTTGCGTCTGGAGAGGTCGTGGGTTTTTATTTGCGGTGCATGGCGGTCAAGGCGCTATGCACAAATCAGCTGCCGCTGATGAGGGCGACCCGCCCTCAGGGCCGGCGGCGTAATCGAAGTCATGGGAGAATCCGCCTGGGAGCGTTAAAGCCTGAACTCACTTGCCTTCTGATCTTTGTTTGGTTTCCCCTATCTGGTCAATTTTTCGTCAGCTCCCCAAAGCTTATCGCTTTTTTTGGTCCTTTGGGCAAGTGAGTGAAAGATACGACGGCATTTCGAAACGACGACCAGTGGGTGCGCTTCATGGTTTCGAGCTCGCACAGCGAGCACGGCTTGGGAGGGCTGTGGAGCAGGGCTTTTCCTACACCAGTTAACGCATACTCAAGTTTCTTTCCAAGCCATACACGGTTACAGAATTGCGCAGGCGCCTTTTGCCGGCTCATTGATTCTATTTAGTGGGCTTGGCACAGTTTAACTGCAGGAATTCGAGTACCAGAGTGTCGCATCGGCTTACGGCATTGTCCGTATCAAAGCTTTGACCAGTTGTCTGGTACGTACTGTCCAAAAGGCAGTGCATGGGATACGGCCTGATCTTCCCGAATGCGCCCGCATCTTATCTCCAGTCCAGGCTTGGTTTGCGCCTGGAAAGGTCGTGGTGTAGAGAGCGAAGGGACAATGTCCGCGGGGGATTAGCCAATGGGTTTGGAATATAGACAAGCGGGCAGGCCAGAAAAGACAACAAACGCACCTGGAATAAAGACAAGCGCTCGCTCCGGGAACAAGAATAGTTAAACTGACAAGATTTTAGCTACTCAGCCCTCTCGAGCGTTTGTGCACTGACACATCGGGGCCACGCGGCTCGAAGGCCTCATGAGCTGAATGCATTTCGCAGCAAAAGCATAGCCGCCGCGCGTGCTGACACCCCATGGAAGCCGACCGACATTCGCAAGTCCGATCGATGAGTTGGCAGCAGAGCCCAACGATGGGGGATCGCCACTCGGCCGAGTTCTTCGACCCCTCGAGGAATGACGGCACTGAGGCAGAACATCCTGTTCCGGATGGCTTGTTTTTTTTTGAGATTTGGCGATGCTAGCGCTGTGCTAGCGACACCTTCGTGGCTGCTTCTTCCGGACGCATATGCAGTGATTGTGGAGCTGATGAGTTCGACAACGCTCGACGCCATCAACGGCACGAGACACGCCCCGCCACCAGAACCTCAACTCCAACTGCCAGACCAATCAGCGTCATCCTCAGCGCCACAACCTCATGCTCTGCAACCGGATGGAACAGATTCGTCCAACACACCGCTAATTACGGCTACCCGACATCAATTCCGACCAATCACAAACACCAGCTGTTACCACATCACAACCGGCATCCTCGCATCCCGCACTACCTCAACCAGCACCTTCTTCCACTTCAAGCATGCCTCACGTCACCAATCCAGCACTACATCCAACAACAAGAAGTCGTGGGCCTTTCCGGCACGGACGATCCGGTAGCCTCATCTGGTTTCGATCCCGACGCCGCTGTGCCAACGACACCACCGGAAGTGCGTATGGATGAGGGACCGCTTGACGCGCTTCTCAACGGGACTACACAGGCCAGACTTGACTATGTATCCACCCGCACCATCGACGACGTGATCAACCAGGTAGAAGATTCACAACTAGAACTTTGCAAACAATTGCCTCAGACTATGACCACCATGACAGAGCTTTGACACCTACCACGATCCTTTTGTTGGCTATGAGGACGACGGCGACATGGCGCATGGCGAGTCACCTGCCAGTTGACACGCCAGCAGACCAAAGCTCTGGAGAAGGAACTTCCCGTTTCCCAGATCATACCATGCCCGAGAACCACCAGCTGAGGCCGAGCGCAATCAGAAGGATCCCCAGCTCCGGAAGCGCTGTTGCTACAGAGACAAAGCAAAAGGGAAGCCCCCGCTTCGTGCGAAGGCTTGTGTGGTTGCGCATGGACACCTTGATCCAGACACCAGGTCTTTGTCAAGGAATGCAGCTAGCGTGTCCGAGATGTTGCTCTGGCGATCTACATCAGCCCTCCGCGGCATGGCGTTCCGGACCGCAGACAAGTGGATGCTTTGGGCCAGGCTCTTTATGAAGCCCAGGCAAGACGAGATCAGGCAAGGCGTTTTAGAACTCCCTCTCCGAGATCATCGGCAACGTCTACGCGTTATGCAGCCATGGGCTAAGGAAGTCACGAGACGGCTTCTGGAGCTTGGCTTTGTCAGGCACTCCTTTGACCGGATGTGCTTCTAATTCCAGCAACGATGGCAGCTTCTGCTATGTAGATGACTTCTTGCTCACCTACACTCCAGGTTCCCCGTCGACAAGTTCTTCCAGAAGTTCAAGTGGGGGTCGCACGGGCACCTCGAGCCCGACAAGCCCCTCATGTTCAAGAGAAAGCAGATCAACCTGGTGAACTCTTTAGAACGGCACAATGTCGTCTGGGTGAGTTTGGCCCAGAGTCGACCAGCATGCTCTACGACACGATCACCTTCTTGCAGGAGACCAAGGACAAGCTCGACCACCATTGTGGCCTACTCAGAGCCACTCACGTTTGCAGGTCGGCCCTGGCGGTTGCGGCAGGTTCAGCAACTGACAGAGTTGCTTTCACCAGCCTCAGCCTCGAGACACATTCGCATGGCGCCACAGCAAGTGCACCGCCGAGCTCAAGAGACATTCGACGCGCACGATCTCCATCGAGCTTTTGCCGAGCTCAAGAGACAATCGCAGGGAGACGCGCGATTTCCGCCTCGGGTTTGGTGACCTCGAGAGACATTCGCATGGCGCCACAGCGAGCGCGTCGCCGGGCTCAAGAGACATTCAACGCGCGCGATCTCCATAGAGAGTTTGCCGAGCTCAAGATACATTCGCGCGCGCGCGATCTGTGCTTAGGGATTGCTGAGCTCGAGACACACTCGCATGGCGCTACAGCGAGCGCGCCAGCGAGCGCGCCAGCGAGCGCGCCAGCGAGCGCGCCGCCGAGCTCAGGAGACATTCAACGCGCGCGATCTCCATATACGGTTTGCCGAGCTCAAGACACATTTGCACGGCGTCGCAGGGAGCGCCCTTCGACGCGCGCGACTCCGCTTAGGGTGGTGAGCTCGAGACACATTCACGTGGCTCCACAGCGAGAGCACTCCGACGCGCTGCCGAGCTCAAGACAAAGTCGCGCGGTCCATAGAGGGTTCGCCGAGCTCATGACACATGTGCACGACGCGACACCGAGATTCCTTCGATACGCACATTCTTTTACAGAGGGTTCACTGTCATCTTGCAACACTTGCCAAATGGATGAAATGCTGCGCGTGCCACGAAAGTCACAGACCCTACTTATGAAATGCCGCGCTTGCCACGAAATCCACGGCAGCGCACTGCGACTGCGAATCACAGAGTCCTGCGCTGGCCGTGGGCCCAAGCTGTCAACACACACATGTCCGAAAACTGCGCGGCGCTGGTCGCACGCAAGACACCTTTTTGCGACAACTGCTTCAGGCGCGACGCCTGCTCAAAATACAGCGCGTATTCTGTGGGACTCTGTCCCTCTGGGACTGTGTCCCTGCGCGCTTTGATCCAAAAGGCGCGGCTGGCGCACCCCGCACCTCTTCCGCGCAGCGCGTGCTCTTCAGAGCTGTTGTCCTTGCCATCAATCATGCGATGTCATGCGCAGTCGCCGCAGCAAGAGCGCATGTTTGCAATGAGGCGCATTTCGTGCGAGACTGTTGCGTCGAAGACAACTTCCGGCACACACTGCCTAATCTTTTGCTGTAAGAAGCCCTCGTGTAAACAGAATTTAGGGGAGTCAAACGGAGCTCAATTCCAGACCCCAACGGGAAACACAAAATTTTCAAATGGAAACTCAGGCCGGCCATGCCCACCAATATTATCACATAAACTATAGATCTCCCCGGCGGGGAGGGGGGCTCCTTGGCTAATCCCAGGTGGACATTTTAAAGCGGGGCGTGTCGCCCAAGGCGGTATGCACAGATTAGGGCGCCAGCCGGCGGCATCTTAATCGAAGTCACGGGGAGCATCCGCCTGGGAGCGTTAATTTCAAGCCGGAAAGATTGAACGATGGCTCATTGAAACGACGGCCAGTGGATGTGCTTCATGGTTTCGAGCTTGCGCACCGAGCCAGGCTTGAGAGAAAGAGGGCTGTGGAGCGGGGCTTTGCGGCGGGCGGGCTTTCTAGACATTCTTTGGGCTGCCAAGCTGCTCGGTGCCTGTGCCTCCCACTTCCTTTTCCCGTCATCGCGAAGCAAAGATGGCCCTGAATCTCCTGAGCCTCGGCAGGGTAGCATGCGGCGGGACGGGCAGGCATGAGGCGAGAAATATCCAAGTTGTCTCTTCATTTGATCCTGGCGCAGACGCGCATCAGGCACCAATGCTGCATGGCCGAGGGCGCCAAGAGCTTCGGTTGGCGTGCTGGCCCAGTGCAGCCCAGTGCACTGCGCAGCTGCGTGCGATGCTGCGCTTGAAGCAGGAGCAGGCACCAGGGGCACATGGCTTCACATGGGTTCAGCAGCCGTAAGCCCTCACTTCGTCGTTTTGTCTTGGGTCTGGGGCGAAGCGCCCAATGTGTCGGTGCGCCACAGGCCCGCGGCGAGACGGCTCGGCACTGCTGTGCGCATGGTCAAACAGTGGGGGGCTGTGGTGCTGGTCTGGGGGGCTGGCCAGGAGTCCGTGAACCCGGCGACGGAGCTACGGGGACCGGCCCTCAGCCCTGGCAGCTTGGGCGGCGCGGAGATCTGCCGGCGTCCTTGCACGTACTATGCTGTCGGTGCTTGCAGCAACGGCGCCCACTGTCACCCAGCGACCCACCCACTTGAGCAAGAGGCCGGCTTCGGGAGGGAACAGAGCTAACACTGAAAGCGGGTCGGGGTGGCTTGGGGCATGGCAGTTGGCAAGCCTGGGGCGCTGGCGCGCTTTGCCAGGCGTGAGCTGTTGAACGGCCTCTCGGAGCCCCGGCTCATGGCTGCTGCTCCGCTACCTGGAGGCTGGTTGGCTTGCAGCGTTCTGCACTATTTTGGCAGTTGGAGACGGTTAAGGCGCACTTAGAGCCTCATTCTCCCAGGCTGGCGCTACTGCGCCACCAGGTGCAGAGGGGCTTGGGCGTGGCTGGGGCGATGGTGGCGCCGGTGGGGCCAGCAGTCTTCCTTTTAGTTTGCTTGCGGAGAGGCGTTCGCGTTGGCTGTTGACGCAAGCGGTCGACCGAAGCGGTTGACAGAAGCGGGCGCAGGGGCCAGCAACAGCTGGAGCCTAATGTGTCCAGGAAGGCTTCGCCCAAGTTTGATGCTCGCGCTGCAGTGCGGGTGGTTGAAGTGAGATGGGCTGGCTTTGGGCAACTGGCGGGTGCGAGTTTGTGCGTGCGTGCGTGCGTCCGTGCGCGTGTGCGTGTGCGTGTGCGTGTGCGTGTGCGTGTGCGTGTGCGTGTGCGTGTGCGTGTGCGTGTGCGTGTGCGTGTGCGTGTGCGTGTGCGTGTGCGTGTGCGTGTGCGTGTGTTGTCTGTGTGTGTCTGTGTGTGTCTGTGTGTGTGTGTGTGTCTGTGTGTGTGTGTGTGTGTGTGTGTGTGTGTGTGTGTGTGTGTGTGTCTGTGTGTGTGTGTGTGTGTGTGTGTGTGTGTCTGTCTGTGTGTGTCTGTGTGTGTCTGTGTGTGTGTTGTGTGTGTCTGTGTGTGTCTGTGTGTGTGTGTGTCGTGTGTGTGTCTGTGTGTGTGTGTGTGTGTGTGTGTGTGTGTGTGTGTGTGTGTGTCTGTGTGTGTGTGTCTGTGTGTGTCTGTGTGTGTGTGTCTGTGTGTGTGTGTCTGTGTGTGTGTGTCTGTGTGTGTGTGTGTGTGTGTGTGTGTGTGTGTGTGTGTGTGTGTGTGTGTGTGTGTGTGTGTGTGTGTGTGTGTGTGTGTGTGTTGTGTGTGTGTGTGTGTGTGTGTGTGTGTGTGTGTGTGTGTGTGTGTGTGTGTGTGTGTGTGTGTGTGTGTGTGTGTGTGTGTGTGTGTGTGTGTGTGTGTGTGTGTGTGTGTGTGTGTGTGTGTGTGTGTGTGTGTGTGTGTGTGTGTGTGTGTGTGTGTGTGTGTGTGTGTGTGTGTGTGTGTGTGTGTGTGTGTGTGTGTGTGTGTGTGTGTGTGTGTGTGTGTGTGTGTGTGTGTGTGTGTGTGTGTGTGTGTGTGTGTGTGTGTGTGTTTGTGTGTGTGTGTGTGTGTTTGTGTGTGTGTGTTTGTGTGTGTGAACTGCGAAATAAGCGAATTTAACAAGTATGCAAGCTCGGCTGAATGATTGGCCGAGTCCATTTGAGCCATTTAAGCAACCAATTTCCAATCCTAAATTGGTTGATTGGCTCACATCCATCATTAGACAACTTCTACATTTGGACAATTGTGTGTGTGTATAGGTATTTTGACTTTGCTTGAGGATTGCATGATGCAGCAGATGACCTTCCAAGCCCTGATGCGCGAGATGAAGTTCTGAAGTCACGCACCAGCTCTCACGAGTTTGTGGAGCAGGTGGGTCGCATGCGCTGCACTTTGCTCGCGTACCTTGGTTTGATGCAGAGTTCAGCCGGGGCAAGCGCCACGCAGATGTTTGCTGCACGGAGATGTGTGGCTTTTCCAGGCCTTGCAAGTCTGATCCCGCCTTTTTGCCAGTGAACACAGATACTCAAGATTCTTTGCTGTTGTGAGGAGCTTGCAAGGAGCTGGACTCCTTCCACATTTTCATCTCACTCCGCAGCTATGCGGAGCCAATAGATGGATTTGAAGTGAGAGGCACGTCATGCCAGTTCATTGGTTGAGCATCACAAGGCTGCACCTCGTGCATCACGAGGCTGCGCCGGGCACACCGCGACAATTTTTGGTGAAAGCAAATCGGTAGCCTTTGCAATAAATCCCTTATTAAACTTGTCCGTTTCTCGCAGTCGGCTGCGGTGGGCTGCGGTCATAACGATTCAAGTTGGAAGCCCTGGGCGTCTCGGGGCTGCCCAAGCGCGTGCCACCCTGAGCACTTGGAATTCGGCTCATAACGCACAAGCTTTTTCATGAACGCTTGGGCCACTTGCCTGGTACTGTTGAACAGCTGTGCATAGGGTGCCGCCTTGGGACCGCATGAGCGCGCCAGGCCTTCAGGCTTGACATCTGCAAAGATTGTTGTGTACAGCATGGCGGACTTACGGACTTGGGAGCGCATGAATCACTCACGAGTCGCTTGGAGATGGCGCAGAGTCGTTAGCCACCTCTTAGGCTGGCGAAATTTGAGAGCTGCCTGCCCTTAGGGCAGGTAGCAGCTTAAATTGCGATGATGTGGAGCATCCGAATAAAGAGTGCTACAGCAGGGACGATTGAACGGTTAAAACGAGCAAGCAGATGGTGCCTGGTGACCAGCAATGTGCTTCATGGATTTTGGGGTTTGGCTCGCTCGGACAGGGAGTGGCAAAGTGCTCTTTGGCAGCGTTTTTTGGAAACCCAGCACCTAGTCCTTTCCCTTCCGCGCTTTGCGCAGAGATGGCCCTGAAGCTTCTGAGCCTTGGCACGAAGGGGGGAATGAAAAAGGCGCCAGGTTTGATCGTTGATGGTAGGGATCCTGTACAACCATTGGAATGATTTCTGCTAGGAAGGAGTTTTGGACATGGCTGTGATCATGTCGCGGCACGTGGCACAGAGGCACCGGTTCTGCTTCATCGATGTGGAGGAGTGCATCTCCTTCCCAGAGATGCCCAAAGAGAAGAGCCAACGTGCCAGTAGTGCACGGCCGCTTTCGCGCCCCGAGAGGCGCCATGATGCAACGATGCTGCATGGCCGACCATGGTTCTTTGGCGGGTGGGGCAACTGACCACTTCGAACCAGGGTTGTGGGATCAAGGGATTTCTCCCCGCTTCTGTGATACAACGGAACCCCCCTTTGTAGGAACACAATAGTCTTTGGAAAGCCCTTTCCGTTGTGTCAGATTCCATTCCCCACAGCCCTGCTTCGAACTTGACTCCTGAGGCTTTCAATTTCCGCACTAGCCCAGCGCGCCCAGCAGCTTCACACGATGCTACGCTTGAAGCGGGGGGAGGCGAGTGTGCGGGGGACTGCGTGGGTCGGTGCTTCAGCGGCTTCGCGTCTTTGTGTTTTTGGGGTTTGGAGTCATATAGCGTCCTTTTCAGGTTAGTTTGATTGAAAATAGAGGTTCCACTGGTTTAGATGGGTGGTTTCTTCCATTTACCCGGGAAACACATCTATCGCCTATGTTTGGAGTCCTCGGCCTTGGGCAAGGCACCAGTGTGCGAACGGTTCAGTACCTCGGACTCGAGTGCCACAGAGGCCAGCGCGACAGCCGAAGAGGCGCGGCGGTTTTTGCAAAACGGCATCAGCAGAAGAAACATGCAAGACAACCAGGAAAAAAGCAAACGCAAGACTTCTGCGCGCAGGTAGAGGGGGGGGGGTCGCATTTTACCTCGTAATTTGTTCATCAGTAGCTTCATGTGTTGCTTGTTACTTCTGGCACATTTGGACAGTGGGAGGAAGTCGGATATGTGCCAATTTGCATAAATGGTTCGATCGTATGATTTGTGCGAGGAAACATCCATGTTGACGTAACATGTTGATTGTACTGGGTGGCCGGGTGGGTTGAGACTCATTTGAAGCGTGTATCCTTGGTAATTTATGCAGTGTGTCCTTGGCCATTTTTGACTCAAGGATTTGCTGCGTCCACCACTTAGCACGCCGACAAGTCATGGGTGGTGGTGGGGGCGCATGACAGGAAGACCGGTGCGGGCAGACTTTTACTATGTTTGGGTGCCCGCCCGCGCTATCAGAGCCAATGGATGAGCTTCGGGCAATATCGATGCGGGAGGTCTTTACGTGGGCCGGTTTGAGCCACACTACCATGGGAGATGTCAACTCAATCTCGGGCTCATTAGCGTGGCAGCGGACACGCCTACAAGAGTCATTGGCGTCGTTCCTTCCTCCGACTCTGAGAAAGTGGTTGCAACATGGAAGGTGCCTGCGACCACAGCAGGTGGATCAGTTCGACCGCCCACGCTGGCAGAGGTTGGCATGGCCACCTTAATCCACAGGGCCGCGCAGTTAGTCTGTGGAGCTGGGCAAACAGTTGAGGAGCTGAAGAAGCAGGTAGTCAAGCTTTCCACAGCTTGAAGCACGCCTCTTGCAACTACTTCGTCCTCACTGCCGCGCAAGGTGAAGTTGAGCTCAGTGACGTCCCAGGGAGATGAGACTGAGATTGCGCTTTGCACAGGCAGCAGGTTGTGGCTATGTACTTGGAGTATGAGCGAATCTTTGGAAAGGGAGAGAGAGGCCAAGCAAAGACGCTGAGCCAACCACAGAGCAACTGAGTGCAATTCAGCATCTTCTTGATGCCGGTTTGCCGTCGTATGTGGATTTTGCAATCTTTGGCCCTTACGGCCGCCATGGAGCGGAAGCTGCGCCTTTCAGGTGTGACTATCACGCGGGACGGTGTTCTTCGTTCAGTGATTTTGCACGGCCCCCCGAACATCGCATCGTGGCTGGCCTCATTTGCAGTTCTGCAGACCGCCCTAGTGATGACCAAGGCCGTGGACTTGGGCATCCTGATGAAGTATCGCTCCCTCATCGAGCGGCTACATGACAGATAGGGTCCAAAAGTTTGGGCTGTTTTGTATCAAGCGGATGCAAGGTGCCGTCTTGAGCTGATGGAGAGGATTCGCAGGGAAGTTGCTGCAGAGCATGAAGAGGCGGTGAAGAAAGGGCAAACTACACCCTACGATCCGGGCCATGGAACTTGACCTGGCAGAGAGCAATTGCAGATGAATCCTTTTGGAGGAAAGAAGAGGAATGCTCCTGCTCACAAAGGTGGCTGGACTCAATGACATGGGGCCTCGAGAGCAACCATCAGCGCCTTCTAGGATGGCTGCGCATCTGCAAGAACAACCGAGGGCGCACCCAAGAAATGCAAACAGGACTGGTCGGCTTCACCAAGTTCAGGATGGCAAATATTTGGTCAACCGTACGGGTTACAAATTGTGCGAGGGCTTCAACGCTGGCACTTGCTCGGAAGCTGCTTCTGATTTTCTGCTGGGTCCACCAGTGCGATCGCTGCCTGGGCGGTCATCCGAGCAGCGTGTGCCCGCACAAAGACATGCCAGTCCCTTCTTTCCTCTCTCGCAAGGGCAAAGGCAAAGCAAAAGGCGGCAAGAAAGGAAAGGGTGCCAATAGGGCACCATACTGACTCCCAATCAATGCCGCTGCCAAGGAGGGGCCGACCCCTCAATATGCACGAGATTGCAGCGCTGAGTCGCCGACGACTGCAGGCAATGCAATCGGCAGGAATTCACTGGATGACTGCGCAAGTTTGGGGCAGAAACGGGCACCCTCTGAGAGGGCGCGACAATGTCAAGCTCCTTCACTTGTTCAGTGGTTCGCATCGACCAAATGACGGTTTCGACATGTTTTGCAGAATTTTCGGGGCTGAGTGCGATTGTGTTGACATCAAAAGCAATCAGGAGCATGACCTTTTGAGCCAGGATTTTTGGGAGCAGCTCGAAGCGAAGTTAGATCAGTGTGATGCGTTTCTTCTCTGCCCTCCTTGCAGGACCTTCTCCGAGTGGGACATGGCTGATGGAGATAAATCTGTCCTTCGAGGAGTTCAAGGGAAGGAAAGATATGGTTACCCTTGGCTCACCTTGGAGCAGAAGAAGCAGGTGCGAGAAAGCACGGTCCTTGCCATCAGGGCAAGTGAAGTTGCCAAGTTTGCGCAGGGCGCGGAGCGACCGTGGCTGGTGGGACAGCCTCACTGGCGGGAAGGATGCACATCCATGTGCATGCTGGATGAGATCCGTGGCCTGGCTGAAGACCCAGGCGTTAAAAGAACAACTCTGGCGCAGTGTATGTTTGGTGGACAGTTTCAAAATCTTACTGACTTCTTGGGCAACGTTGATGACATGAGTGCCTTTGGAGTCACTCCGGACACGCACCTGCCAACGACCGGAGAACAATTTTGCAGAGAATTTGCAGCGCGACGAGCAGCAGCTTTTCCTGCAGATCTCAACATTGCGCTGGCACGCAAGCTAGTTGATGAAGCCAAGCGTTCCAGGAGGTCCCAATGAGGCTGCCAAAGAAGCCTTGCTTGGCAGACAATCCGCTGGATGCGGAGGTGCAGTGGACTTTGCACCTCAGTGGGACTCAGGCACGTCAACCACCCACTGAGGAGCGATACAGTCTTCGCAACATTCACAAGTCCATCTCGCAGCCTGTCCTCAACCTCTGGAAGCAGGTTGCAAATTTCATGGAGCAGTGGCTTGATGATCATCCTGGCTTTCAGGAGCAAATTTTGTCAAATCTGGGCCAGCCCGCGATTGACACGAACTTGCCGCATGATGAGATTGCGAAGCTCCGAGAATCCGTGGCTGGCATTATAGTTCGGAACACAGGCTTCCTGGCATGGATGTGCGTTGCAGCACGGCAGAAGTTTCTGGCCAGGAGTATTCCACAGTCATCAGAGCGCATTTGCTGCATTACTGGGCACGGGCAGTGGGCGACCCGGGGGCTCCTGCTGCAAAGTGGCTCCTTGACGGAGCGCCGGCAGGACTCATGTTCGACACTTCTGAGTTGGACGCCGTGTGTCCCAAGGTGGACGACCACGAGCCCTATGACCCAGAGGCACTGCGCACAGATCTCGACTCCTTTGAAAACTACAAAGGTGCAAAGGTGTTGAGGATGACACTGCAAATGTATGAAGAAAAGGGGTACCTGGCCTCGTTTTCAAACTTTGACAAGTTGAGAAGCTTTGTAGGCGGCGAGCCGATCCTGTCGAAGCTGGGGTGCATCAAGAAGCAGAAGTACAATGTGGACACGGGGCAGTACACTTACAAAACTCGGATCATTTTGGATTGCAAAAAGTCCTTGGTCTCAAAGGCTGCGAGTCGCAGTCACAAGTCAGTGCTGCCGCGGGTCTCGGACGCCAGCCAGTCGTCCCGGGCTATGATGGCTGATTGCCGCGGAGGAGAGAGCGTTGTTGCGACTATAATTGCGCTGGCCTGGCTAGTTTGCTGTCCTCTGCGCTTCCTTGGATAGGCGTTGGTTTGCGCGCCACACAGGATGCAATACACGCAGAGGTCCCGCAGTCGAAAGTTACTGAGCTTGTTGACATTCTGAAAGGCATGGCCAACCAGAATGTGGTCCCCATGAAAGTGCTCAGAACTTGCATTGGCAAGGCAATATCTATTGCAACTGTGCTTTATGTATGGAGGCCTTTCGTTCATGACATGTATGTGGCTCTGCATTCGCAGGAGAGCAACGCTCCACGTGGCTGCGTGTGGACGAAGCAGATCTTGCACTCAGTTCTTTGGCTTCTGGCTTTTCTTTCCGGGCAGCAAGCTGGTATCAGGAGAGTGTACACATTGGAGCATTTCTTGGCAAAAGGGCCAAGAGTAACCATCACTTGGGACGCATCACCATTCGGCATGGGTGCAACTGTACAGCTTGAAAACACCTTTGTTCAATTCTTTGCGATACCCATTTCGGAGACAGATGTCTCAGTCATGGGCATTCAGCCGGGCACTTTGGGAGGCCTTGGCGGGGCTCATTGCATTGCGCGTGTGGTCACGATTCTGGAAAGGCCAAAGGGCCTGCTTGCAGATACGTGGGGACAATATTGGGTCCCTCACGCTTCTGACCACATTGAAAGGCAGATCCAGGCAGGGGGAGGCTGAGTGGAGGCCGGATTTGGCCACACATATTCCTGGCGTGACACACTGTTTGCGACACTCGAAGCCAAGGCTGTTGTCCCACCTACGAGAAGTCGACAGAGTGGTGGAAAACCTCGAGGTATGAATCTCAGTGGTCGGCGCCGGCTAGGCCAGAAGCAGAATGGATGGGCACCGACTTGTCTCCCAGAAAGACATGTTTGCGGCCACTTCGAGAAGACCCAGGGAGGCCTTGCTCAACACCTGGGTCAAGTTTCACGCCAGCTGGTTCGGGGACAAGCCGGCGCTGCCACGCATTCCCCTTAGATGAACACAAGCTGGTGCGAGTTGCTTCGCTGTTCAAAGCTGGCGGGCACAGGTCCTTCAAGAACTACCTTAGCAGAGCGAAAGACCAGCGTTTGGCACTTGGCTATGAATGGACCGAGACCCTTCACCGCGTTTCTCAGAGATGCACTTGCTCTGTTCTTCGAGGATTGGCTGGCAAATCCAGATCTGAGGCCTTCAATTTTTTGGAAGTGCACGAAGCCCTGACGACGGGGCGCTGGCCCGTGCCGGACCTGTGTCCCCGCGACCCATGATTGTTTGTGCCACATACTTCATGCTGAGAGAACTTGAGGTTTCGGCCCTTGATATTGCTGATGTAGTCCTCTCCGACAACTCAGTTTCTCCACGACTGCCAGTTTCAAAGACGGACGAAAGGGTGCAAACGCACCTGGGCTTGCACCTGAGACAAGCGATTGCCTTGTCCTTTCCATACTCTGCAGAGTCACTTGGAGTCCTTTCCACCGGACTGTTTGCCGTCAGATCCTTTGTTCCCTTCGGCCGCGGCTGCAGCAAACAGGGAGGTATTGACACGATCAGGAGGGCAGCTGAGTTGGCCGGCAGACAGGAATCAGTTGATTTCTGGCCACACTTTCAGAGTTACAGGGGCACGGTGCCTTTCGGCTTGCGGCTTGGACCCCATTACAATCCAGCTGATCGGAAGGGCTCCAGTGTATACCAACCTGGCGGATGCCCCGCTTGCCAGCTTGGCGCAACGACTCAAGCCGCCGCAGCGTGAAGTTGAGGACACTCCACCGCACGATGCGCCAAACAATGCGTGGCTTGTGAAAGTCAATGCTGATCAGCTGAAAGAAGAAGTCAGACGTCACCTTGCAGAAGTCCAGGCCTTGATAGCTCGAGTAAAGCAGCTGGAGACCGAACAGGAGCACACCGGTGACGTGCTTGCTGGAATGTCTCTTGTCATAGACAGGGGCGTGGAGCAGCGTGTTTGGCGCATCGGCAATAGGAAGTCTCAAGTGTGCCATAAATCGTTGGTTTCACTTCAGGACCCACCACATTCCTGGAAGACAGTGTGTGGTTGGGAGTTCAGTGGTAAGAAGCATGCGACCACTGCCGAGCCACATTCTAAGTTGCCCTCAGACGATTTCAAGACTTGCCCCAAGTGCTTTGGTCGGCTTTCCCTCCAATGAATCGTCATCCTTTTCCCCGGGTCCGGATGGTTAACTGCAAGTGATGGGGGGCGCCTGTGGGCGTTCTACTTGGCACCTAGGGCCCAATCATCTGGGGGGCATGGCTACCCAGCTTTGCTGGGTAGGTGTTTCAAGACGATATCACCAGCAGCTTCGTTTGGAAAAGCTGATTCGGAGGGAGGGAGGGCGTGCGCCTTGCAATCTGATGTTACTATAAGAATAGAGCTGGTTGCAAGCGTTAAATGGGGCGAACAATATGTTTGTGTGGGGGGGAGGCTCCCACTCGTTTATTGATATGGCGTGTTCCTTGCCAAAAGCGAGGATTCCCCACAAACAGGGACACACCCCCTATACATAAATCAGGGTTGATTAATATGGGTTCAACATTAATTATCAGGTAAGCGGACATGGCTCTAGTCGGTGATCATTTCTTCTAATACACGAGCGCTGAAGGTTTTTTGTTTTTTGTTTTTTGTCGGTCTCTGTGCGTTAGGTGGCCACGGAGCAGGGGACGCAGGAGACGATCTTCGCGGAGGGCCAGTGGCCGAGCCCTGGCAGTATGGGCCACCCGGAGATCTGCCGGCGGTCCTGCATGCACTTCATCGCTGGTGCCTGTAGCAGCGGCGCTCAGTGCCAATACTGCCACCTGCCCCACCACCACCGACCCGCCCACTTGGACAAGAGGCCGCATGTCGGATGTCGCCCCTTTTGGCTTGCGGTTTCAAGTGTGACGGTTTCAAGGTTTGCTTGGGGCCTGTCTTGGGTTTTTTTGGGCTTGCACATGGCAGGCACATGGCACCCTGGCACCCTGGCACCCTGGCACCCTGGCCGTCCTTAACAGACCAAGCCGACGGATTGACAGCACCATAGGCGTCCTTTTTAGGTCAGTTTGGTTAAAGAATAGATGGGTTCCACTGGTTCAGATGGTTGTTTTTTTCCATTTTCCCGGGAAACCCATCTATTTTCAACCAAGCAGACAGCAGACGCACACGCGATCCGCTCGCTCGGGCGGATCACGAGATCGCGCCAGGCAGCGCGAGCTGCTGAGGAGCCTCTCAGAGCCGCAGTTGATGGCGCTGCTGCTGTGGCACCTCGAGGCCGGATGGGCGGACGAGCCGATGTGCTGCGAGGCCGTGCTGGTGAAGCAAAGTAGTTGATCAGAGCGCGGGTTCTATGGGTTTTCAAAACCAGCAAGTTCTCGTTTTCACGCATTTCTAGCCAAAGCACTTTTAAGGTGCTGCATCGTCGTTACTTTCTTTCGCTGGAGCGATAGGTCGCAAAATGACCCAAAACAAAAAGAAAGAACACAAAGAGCACTTAAAATATTCTACCAAAATTCACAAGCTATTCTATCATAACAATTTTAACGACCGAATTCTGGGCTTCCCCCTCGGACGCCAGCGCGCGAATTCCGTCGCTTCGGTTTCGCCCCGGTCCTCAGGCCAAGGCGCGCACGCACGGCTTCCTCCCCGAGGCGGCGGAGCTTCTCGCACTGCTGCGGCACAAGGCTGGTGGGCGGCCGGGCGGGCGGGCGAGGGAAATTCGTGTGGAAAAAAAAGGAAGAGGGGGGTCTGGTAATTAAAAATAGAAGTGGTTTGTTTCTTCATAAGGCATCTTTATGCAGAATCAAGTTAGCTCGCAAGGGTTAAGATAAGTGCTCTTCATTTCTCCATTCCATCCCCCGTCTGGAATCGCTACACAGCTTTGGTTTTTTGGGTGGGACTTTCTCTTTGGGAGTTACAAGCAGCTCGCAAAGCTTCCGTGCTCAGGGGCGCTTGGCACCAGGGCAGCGGCCGGAGCCCAGTCCTGTGCCCAGGAAGGCCTGGCCGAAGTTTGAGCCTCGGATTTCTCCGAGCGGTTTACCAAATCGATGGACCCGGGTTGCACAGCGAACGGGGTCACTACAGGGGGAGGGAGTGGTTGTTTTCTTCTTCAGTCCAAACGGGGTTCATTCCGTGTTTCTCATTCCCCGCGTTTTTGTTTCTTTTCTTCTTCAATCCAAACGGGGTTCATTCCGTGTTTCTCATTCCCCGCGTTTTTGTTTCTTTTCTTCTTCAGTCCAAACGGGGTTCATTCCGTGTTTCTCATTCCCCGCGTTTTTGTTTCTTTTCTTCTTCATCCAAACGGGGTTCATTCCGTGTTTCTCATTCCCCGCGTTTTTGTTTCTTTTCTTCTTCAATCCAAACGGGGTTCATTCCGTGTTTCTCATTCCCCGCGTTTTTGTTTCTTTTCTTCTTCAGTCCAAACGGGGTTCATTCCGTGTTTCTCATTCCCCGCGTTTTTGTTTCTTTTCTTCTTCAATCCAAACGGGGTTCATTCCGTGTTTCTCATTCCCTGCGTTTTTGTTTCTTTTCTTCTTCAATCCAAACGGGGTTCATTCCGTGTTTCTCATTCCCTGCGTTTTTGTTTCTTTTCTTCTTCAGTCCAAACGGGGTTCATTCCGTGTTTCTCATTCCATTCCGTGGTTCTCATTCCCCGCGTTTTTGTTTCTTTTTCTTCTTCATCCAAACGGGTTCATTCCGTGTTTCTCATTCCCCGTTTTTGTTTCTTTTTTCTTCAGTCCCAACGGGGGTCATTCCGTGTTTCTCAGTCCCCGCGTTTTGGTTTCTGTTCTTCTTCATCCAAACGGGTTCAGTCCGGGTTTCTCAGTCCCGCGTTGTTTGTGTTCTTTTTCTTCTTCAATCCAAACGGGGTGCATTCCGTGTTTCTCATTCCCCGCGTTTTGGTTTCTTTCTTCTCAGGCCCCAAACGGGGTTCATTACCGTGTTTTCTCAGTCCCCCGTTTTTGTTTCTTTTCTTCTTCAGTCCAAACGGGGTTCATTCCGTGTTTCTCATTCCCCGCGTTTTTGTTTCTTTTCTTCTTGAATCCAAACGGGGTTCATTCCGTGTTTCTCATTCCCCGCGTTTTTGTTTCTTTTCTTCTTCAGTCCAAACGGGGTTCATTCCGTGTTTCTCATTCCCCGCGTTTTTGTTTCTTTTCTTCTTCAATCCAAACGGGGTTCATTCCCTGCGTTTTTGTTTCTTTTCTTCTTCAACCCAAACGGGGTTCATTCCGTGTTTCTCATTCCCCGCGTTTTTGCTTCTTTTCTTCTTCAATCCAAACGGGGTTCATTCCGTGTTTCTCATTCCCTGCGTTTTTGTTTCTTTTCTTCAATCCAAACGGGTTTCATTCTGATGTTTCTCATTCCCGCGTGTTTGTTTTGACCTTCTTCAATCCAAACGGGGTTTGAACCGTGTTTCTCATTCCCTGCGTTTTTGTTTCTTTTCTTCTTCAATCCAAACGGGGTTCATTCCGTGTTTCTCATTCCCTGCGTTTTTGTTTCTTTTCTTCTTCAATCCAAACGGGGTTCATTCCGTGTTTCTCATTCCCTGCGTTTTTGTTTCTGTTCTTGTTTCCCCACACGGGGTTCATTCCGTGTTTCTCATTCCCCGCGTTTTTGTTTCTTTTTTCTTCCTCAATCCAAACGGGGTTCATTCCGTGTTTCTCATTCCCTGCGTTTTTGTTTCTTTTCTTCTTCAATCCAAACGGGGTTCATTCCGTATTTCTCATTCCCTGCGTTTTTGTTTCTTTTCTTCTTCAATCCAAACGGGGTTCATTCCGTGTTTCTCATTCCCTGCGTTTCTGTTTCTGTTCTTTTTTCCCCACACGGGGTTCATTCCGTGTTTCTCATTCCCTGCGTTTTTGTTTCTTTTTCTTCAATCCAAACGGGGTTCATTCCGTGTTTCTCATTCCCAGCGTTTTTGTTTCTTTTCTTCTTTAATCCAAACGGGGTTCATTCTGTGTTTCTCATTCCCTGCGTTTTTGTTTCTTTTCTTCTTCAATCCAAACGGGGTTCATTCCGTGTTTCTCATTCCCTGCGTTTTTGTTTCTTTTTTCTTCTTCAATCCAAACGGGGTTCATTCCGTGTTTCTCATTCCCTGCTTTTTTGTTTCTTTTTTCTTCTTCAATCCAAACGGGGTTCATTCCGTGCTTCTCATTCCCTGCGTTTTTGTTTCTGTTCATTTTTCCCCACACGGGGTTCATTCCGTGTTTCTCATTCCCCGCGTTTTTGTTTCTTTTCTTCTTCAATCCAAACGGGGTTCATTCCGTGTTTCTCATTCCCTGCGTTTTTTTCACTTTTCTTCTTCAATCCAAACGGGTTCATTCCCGTGTTTTCTCATTCCCTGCGTTTTTTTGTTTCTTCCAATCCAAACGGGGTTCATTCAATCATTTTGCCTCATTCCTACGTTTTGTTTCTTTTCTTCTTGAAGTCAATCTGGGTTTCCATTCCGTGTTCTCAGCGCCGGACTGGTTCCCGGTCGCCTAACGGCAAACGGCAGGGTTCATTCCGTGTTCTCATTCCTACGTTTTTGTTTCTTTTTTCTTCTTCAATCCATGAAAATTTCATTCCGTGTTTCTCATTCCCTGCTTTTTGTTTCTTTTTTGTTGCTAATCCAAACGGGTTCATTCCGTGTTTCTCATTCCCTGCGTTTTTGTTTCTGTTCTTTTTTCCCCACACGGGGTTCATTCCGTGTTTCTCATTCCCAGCGTTTTTGTTTCTTTTCTTCTTCAATCCAAACGGGGTTCATTCCGTGTTTCTCATTCCCTGCGTTTTTGTTTCTTTTCTTCTTCAACCCAAACGGGGTTCATTCCGTGTTTCTCATTCCCCGCGTTTTTGCTTCTTTTCTTCTTCAATCCAAACGGGGTTCATTCCGTGTTTCTCATTCCCTGCGTTTTTGTTTCTTTTCTTCAATCCAAACGGGGTTCATTCCGTGTTTCTCATTCCCCGCGTGTTTGTTTCTTTTCTTCTTCAATCCAAACGGGGTTCATTCCGTGTTTCTCATTCCCTGCGTTTTTGTTTCTTTTCTTCTTCAATCCAAACGGGGTTCATTCCGTGTTTCTCATTCCCTGCGTTTTTGTTTCTTTTTTCTTCTTCAATCCAAACGGGGTTCATTCCGTGTTTCTCATTCCCTGCTTTTTTGTTTCTTTTTTCTTCTTCAATCCAAACGGGGTTCATTCCGTGCTTCTCATTCCCTGCGTTTTTGTTTCTGTTCATTTTTCCCCACACGGGGTTCATTCCGTGTTTCTCATTCCCCGCGTTTTTGTTTCTGTTCTTCTTCAATCCAAACGGGGTTCATTCCGTGTTTCTCATTCCCTGCGTTTTTGTTTCTTATTTCTTCTTCAATCCAACCGGGGTTCATTCCGTGTTTCTCATTCCCTGCGTTTTTGTTTCTTATCTTTTTTTCCCCACACGGGGTTCTTTCCGTGTTTCTCATTCCCTGCGTTTTTGTTTCTTTTTTCTTGTTCAATCCAAACGGGGTTCATTCCGTGTTTCTCATTCCCTGCGTTTTTGTTTCTTTTTTCTTCTTCAATCCAAACGGGGTTCATTCCGTGTTTCTCATTCCCTGCGTGTTTGTTTCTTTTTCTTCAATCCAAACGGGGTTCATTCCGTGTTTCTCATTCCCTGCGTTTTTGTTTCTTTTTTCTTCGTCAATCCAAACGGGGTTAATTCCGTGTTTCTCATTCCCTGCGTTTTTGTTTCTTTTCTTTTTTTCCCCACACGGGGTTCATTCCGTGTTTCTCATTCCCTGCGTTTTTGTTTCTTATTTCTTCTTCAATCCAAACGGGGGTCATTCCGTGTTTCTCATTCCCTGCGTTTTTGTTTCTTCTTTCTTCAATCCAAACGGGGTTCATTCCGTGTTTCTCATTCCCTGCGTGTTTGTTTCTTTTTTTTCTTCAATCCAAACGGGGTTCATTCCGTGTTTCTCATTCCCTGCGTTCTTGTTTCTTTTTTCTTCTTCAATCCAAACGGGGTTCATTCCGTGTTTCTCATTCCCTGCGTTTTTGTTTCTTTTTCTTCTTCAATCCAAACGGGGTTCATTCCGTGTTTCTCATTCCCTGCGTTTTTGTTTCTTGTCTTTCTTTTTTTCCCCAAACGGGGTTCATTCCGTGTTTCTCATTCCCTGCATCTTGTTTGCGCCGGCAAGGTAAACACTGGGTGTCCCAGCCAAATTATGTTTTTGAAGGGAACCCTCCAAAAGCGCCTCGATCATGTTTGTTTTTGCTTGAGGAATGCATGATACAGAAGACTAACCCTCCAAATTTTGTTGTTGAAGGGAACCCTCCAAGAGTGGCTCGATCATTTTTTGTTGGGCTTGAGGAATGCATGATACAGAAGACTAAACCTCCAAATTTTGTTTTTGAAGGGAACCCTCCAAAAGTGGCTCGATCAATTTGTTTTTTGTTCTTTCACCTCCCTTGAGGAATGCATGATACAGAAGACGAACCCTCCAAATTGTGTTTTTGCAGGGAACCCTCCAAAAGCGGCTCGATCAATTTGTGTTTTTTCTTTGCTTGAGGAATGCATGATACAGAAGACTAACCCTCCAAATTTTGATTTTGAAGGGAACCCTCCCAAAGCGGCTCGATCAATTTGTGTTTTTTCTTTGCTTGAGGAATGCATGATACAGAAGACTAACCCTCCAATTTTTGTTTTTGAAGGGAACCCTCCAAAAGCGGCTCGATCAATTTGTGTTTTTTCTTTGCTTGAGGAATGCATGATACAGAAGACTAACCCTCCAAATTTGTTTTTGAAGGGAACCCTCCAAAAGCGGCTCGATCAATTTGTGTTTTTTCTTTGCTTGAGGAATGCATGATACAGAAGACTAACCCTCCAAATTTTGTTTTTGAAGGGAACCCTCCAAAAGCGGCTCGATCAATTTGTGTTTTTTCCTTTGCTTGAGGAATGCATGATACAGAAGACTAACCCTCCAAATTTTGTTTTTGCAGGGAACCCTCCAAAAGCGGCTCGATCATTTTTTTCTTGAGGAATGCATGATACAGATTTGTGTGCGTGTGTTTTTTTGCTTGAGGAATGCATGATACAGAAGACTAACCCTCCAAATTTTGTTTTTGAAGGGAACCCTCCAAAAGTGGCTGAATCATTTTTTTGGCTTGAGGAATGCATGATACAGAAGACTAACCCTCCAAATTTGTTTTTGAAGGGAACCCTCCAAAAGTGGCTCGATCATTTTTTTCCCCTTGAGGAATGCATGATACAGAAGACTAACCCTCCAAATTTTGTTGTTGAAGGGAACCCTCCAAGAGTGGCTCGATCATTTTTTGTTGGGCTTGAGGAATGCATGATACAGAAGACTAACCCTCCAAATTTTGTTTTTGAAGGGAACCCTCCAAAAGTGGCTCGATCAATTTGTTTTTTGTTCTTTCACCTCCCTTGAGGAATGCATGATACAGAAGACTAACCCTCCAAATTGTGTTTTTGCAGGGAACCCTCCAAAAGCGGCTCGATCAATTTGTGTTTTTTCTTTGCTTGAGGAATGCATGATACAGAAGACTAACCCTCCAAATTTGTTTTTGAAGGGAACCCTCCCAAAGCGGCTCGATCAATTTGTGTTTTTTCTTTGCTTGAGGAATGCATGATACAGAAGACTAACCCTCCAAATTTTTGTTTTTGAAGGGAACCCTCCAAAAGCGGCTCGATCAATTTGTGTTTTTTCTTTGCTTGAGGAATGCATGATACAGAAGACTAACCCTCCAAATTTGTTTTTGAAGGGAACCCTCCAAAAGCGGCTCGATCAATTTGTGTTTTTTCTTTGCTTGAGGAATGCATGATACAGAAGACTAACCCTCCAAATTTTGTTTTTGAAGGGAACCCTCCAAAAGCGGCTCGATCAATTTGTGTTTTTTCCTTTGCTTGAGGAATGCATGATACAGAAGACTAACCCTCCAAATTTTGTTTTTGCAGGGAACCCTCCAAAAGCGGCTCGATCAATTTGTGTTTTTTCTTTGCTTGAGGAATGCATGATACAGAAGACTAACCCTCCAAATTTTGTTTTTGCCGGGAACCCTCCAAAAGCGGCTCGATCAATTTGTGTTTTTTCTTTGCTTGAGGAATGCATGATACAGAAGATGGCCTTCCAAGACTTGGTGGGCTTGGCCATGAAGAGCCGCACAAGCTCGCAAGACTTTGTCGACGACCTGGCGGCGGCCATGGGCCGGATGCGCGGCACTCTGCTCGCGAGCGAGTGAGGCGCGTGAGGCAGTCGCCAAACGGCATACCTGACCGGTTTGGCGGCCCCGGTTTGACCGGAGCACCCCAAGGCAAGCCCACTTAAGTCGTTTTTGTTTTTTTTTGGCTGCAGAATGTATGTGCGTGTGTGTTTTTTTACAGGGGCCGCAAGCCCGACCCTATCCCACCGGTTAAGAGGATTTGGCTCGTTTGTGTCCAAGTGTTGCTTGCAAGGAGCTGCTCCCCTTCCAGATTTCTCATTTCCCGCCCATTCCAAGCGTACAGTTAGTACGACGCTTTGAAGAAAGGCACTTTGTCCAGATTCTCTCTCCACAGGCTGTGCCTGTCACGCAGAGGCCTAGAGCGAAACCGCCGTGGCGAGTTTTGTCTGCGTTCAGCGCCTGTGCCTTCTACCAGTTCATTCAAGCTTGCCTTGCCGGAGGGTTGGGAACCCATGCCACCGTCATGGCTGGTCTTTGGTGTAGCGCCTCAGACCTAGACCAAATAGATGGCTCATTGAAGCTACCAAATGTTAGACCCTTTTGCTCAGAGACCTCCAGTTCGATGTCCCATTGAAGCTAAAAAGTTCAACTCTTAGACCCTTTTGCTCAGGGAAGAGCGACTACCAGGATATGGACCCAGTTTGGAGGATACGTCAAGTTGACGTCACTTGAATGGACTCGCCGGCACGCGAATTTGGCCGTCAGCTGTGGGCTGTTGGGCCAGTTTACATGGGCTGCCTTCAGGGGTGCCCGGCGCCGACGCCTCCAGTGGGAAACTTCCACGCCTTCTGGGGCAAGGCCTTTGAAGAAACGACGTTTCTCACGGAGGGTCGGTGCAACGCATCGGCTTGGGCCACAGGGTCTGGGCTTTTTTGAACTGGCCATGGGTCAAAACCCCGAACCCCCTGTGAACATCCCAATTCCCACTAAAATAGACTAAAATGGGTGGTGCACCTATCCCAAAATGGCACCATTGGTTTTGAACCATGGCCAACTTTCCTCCGCCAAGCGGCACGCGCTCCAGTGGCATCCAGTGGCTTTTGGGACACGTCGCGGTGTAAAGCTGCGCGACTTGGCGCGCTAATTCAGGCGGAGCAATCGTCTCGAGTCGCAGCCGAATTCAGGCGACGAATAGTTTCAACCTAGTTTGCTTCCCTCACATCTCACAGCGAGCCGCAGGGAAGGTGTAATTTCATTTGAAGCCATGCGGAGCATTGAAGTTTTGTTTGTATCCTTCCATTTGCTGACTCGAACATATTTTTTCTGGTTTCGGCTGTTGGTTTCAAAGGGAATCTATCACTACTGAACATATTTCGACTTTTCCAGAGGGCTCAAGCAAATGGAAGTATGGCAAACGGATGCTGCCAAACTGGCAACAGTTCCACACGGCCAGATTTCTGAAATTTTCTAGCCTTTGCAGCTTTCTGCAAGAGGTTTGGTTGGAAAATGTGTTTCATGTGCAGGCTTTACAGTTACATGTTTGGAGCCTCTAGGGAGGGTTTCAGCTGTTCGACCAGTGTCACGTTTTTTTTTTTTTTCTGGGGGGAAAACCCTTGGAAATCCTCACGGAGGATCACTGGTTGGTGCTGATGTGTGTTGCTCAAAAGGTTGGTGTCCCTTCGAAGCTTTTGGTTTCCCTTGCCAACCGATGCTCCGAATCTTTGGGCAACCGAACCATTTGGCCCGTAGAGCCCAAAAGGCTCTTCTCGGCCACGTGCGATGAAGAGAAGTTCCGAGGTGCTGCCAGCATTTGGCTCAAAGTCTCACCGAATCCGCAGCTCAGGCCGTGAACACGTCTTGCGGATTCGGTCTCCGCGCGTTGCGCAGCGCGGAAGTCCAACACGATTTTCTTTCCGACTCCCCGATCTTCCATCCAGCTTCAGTTAAAGAGATCAACATCAAGATCTGGGTGTGGCTCAAAATTAAACAGCAGGGGCAGACCGCAGGTTTTGGCCCATGTTTCCACTCACCAGGGTTCCATTTTGGAATTCCGGTTTTTTGAGCCACCGCCATCTCCGCCTTTTTGTTTCTTCTTACGCTGGTCCCTTGGAGGTGCAATGAGCAGGGCAGTGCTGCAAACCTTCGAGGAGTACCAGAAGGCCACTCGGGACTCGGGCGGGTTGGCTGCTTTTTGACCGCTTGGCTCGGCCTGCCTCTTGAGGCAGGCCAGCCAGTGCTTGGTTGAATTGTTTGGGATGGGATGGATGTGAGGGACACGAACTCCAGGAAACACCTTCACCACAAGGATGGTCTGGGAGGAATCGCTAAATTGCGATTCGCTTTGCCCTGGTTGTAACCCAATGGTTGTAAGTGTTCTGAAGGTCAAAGCTAGCCATTTAGCGATTCGTCCCAGACCATCTATGTAGGGTTCAGCCCCCATTCACAGAATGGTTGCCCCAAGTTAGATGAAACTCAGGCAAATATTCATGGTTATTATGAACCCCATTTGTTTCAACAAAACTAGCATCTGGGTTTTCTACATCAGCGCATGGCTGTGAAGGTGAGCGCTCAGGCCAAGCTGGACCATGGGGATGGAAATAGCTTAAAAGAAGGTTCCCTCGCATCCGATAGATTACATGGGCTTGAATTGGCTTAGGCGCTGTGGTTGAATTGGTCACGAAGCGGTTTTTCTTCAGGGTCCTTTGCATTTGTATTTTCCGGCCTTGGGTGTTCAATGTCAGCTTTGATTTATTGTCCCAGAAGCCCTTCCCGTTTTTTGTTGTGTTTTTTTTTGGGGGGGGGTGCGGGAAAACCATCTCTACCTAAGAAGGGTACCCGCTTTTTCCTGGGGGACCTAGCTGATTTTCTGCCTTTGGGTTCAGGATTACGGACAGATTGCATGTCACAAATGTTCAAAATGCCTGTAATGGGCGAAACGAGGGTTCCGAGCATTTGGTTTCGAGCATTTGGCTTCGAGCATTTTGCGAGCAGCGCGCCATTGAATTTACATGTTGAGTGAATGATTGAGTGAGTTCATGTTCAGCTGGAACTTGACCCGGCGCATCAAGTCGTTCAAGGACAGAATCAGTTGGATCGTGAGTCTTTTCTATGGAATGCGTAAAGCAGGCGGTGGAATCCATGATCATCAGCCACTCCCTTCACCATTCAGCCAGCAATCTCTACCTGCAAGAGTTAGTAGCTGGAGGAGGAGTTCCCGCCATTTGATTCTACTGCCTTGTCTCCGAGCGAGTGGGAAGGCTTAGTTGGGGATTCCTGAATGGCACTGAAGGGATCACGATGTCGCGAACGGCACATGAACCCCTTCGCCGGTACATGAATCCCGAACCCGCCCCGAACCTGCCCCTCAGAGCTTATGCTTGTGTCAGCAGTCGCAGCCAGCTTGGTTGGCCTTCTCTTGTGAAAGTAGCTACCAACAAGCCTGGGTTTCGGATGGTTCTACCCGACCTCGTGGCTAGAGCAAGACCTAATGTGTGCCGTTATCTTAGAAGCTGTCCTCGGCCCAAAGTGCAAATGGGTGCTTCTCAAGACAGTGAAGCCCCGAACATGGGTTGTTTCATGTCGGCTTTCATTTCATTCAAACCGTTTTATTTTTGGGGGGTGGAAGTGTCCCTTTCTCGCTGGTCAGTTTCCCTTCGGGGGACCCAGTCCACGAATTGGAGCTTCCCGGGCAAATTTCTTCGGCCCTGTGGATGGTCGAAAACGAAATCCAACGCACCACCCAAGAAACCCAAGAAAATCTAGAATGAGTCGATTCCCCAACGCAAATACCAACAAACCTTATGGTTTCAACCATGGTTTCCAAGTGGTTACCCGTGGTTTCCAAATGGTTACCCCTGGTTTCCCATGGCTTCAAAGAGGTGCGGTCTCGGATTTCGATTTCAACCATCCACGGTGCTTCTCTCGCCAGGCCCGCGTCACCTTCGTCCAGACCGTTGCGGACCTGGCGACGAGGAGCTCCGACGGGTGGATCGGGACGCGGCGAAGCAGATGTCTGGGTCCCACAAAAATCAGCAAGGGATGGTAATTCTAGTGCTCGTTCGCCTTGGGTCCCGCATCATTTGCTCCCGAAGAATGGACAGCACCAGCAAGGGATGGTTTTTCTAGTGGTCGTTCGCCTTGGGTCCCGCATCATTTGCTCCCGAAGAATGGACAGCACCAGCAAGGGATGGTTTTTCTAGTGGTCGTTCGCCTTGGGTCCCACACAATTTGCTCCCAAAGAATGGAAACCACCAGCAAGGGATGGTTTTTCTAGTGGCCGTTCGTCTAAGTCCCACAAAAAGCTCCCGAAGAATGGAAAGCACCAGCAAGGGATGGTAATTCTAGTGGTCGTTCGCCTTGGGTTCCACAAAAACATCCTGAAGAACGGAAACCATAAGCAAGGGATGTTTTTACAAACGGGGTCATTCCGTTTTTTCTCATTCCCTGCATTTTTCGCACCGGCAAGTTGAACAGGGTTTTCGAGCCATTTCATTTTTGAAGGGAACCTCCAAACGTGGATCGATCGTTTCAATGGAAATGGATCAACTTTTGATTCGGGACATCCAGTGACCCCTGTCAAAAGTCACGATGCCCTTCATGGAGCAGTTGTGGGCGGGGTTGGTTTTGGCTTCAGGTTGGTGCAGCTTTGGTTACGGTTGAGGCTTTGAGGGTTGGTTAATACTAAGTTCAGGGTTGGTTGGTTTACAGCCACACCGAATGTGCATTCTGCCCGGGTTTTCAGCATGTTGCAAATGCGTCGACATGGTTTCCCACAGGGTGGTTTTGGGGGAGTCCTTGGGGGGGGTCTGGGCCTGAGAGTGGGACCGGGAACATACATGTGCACATATGCCTACGTCTACATGTGTACATACACACGCATCATATACATATATATATATATGCATATATGAATGTAGGTGAATACATCAAATAAACAAGTAAGCAAATCAGCAAATAAGCAAATAAGCAAATAAGCAAAAGTAAATAAGTGAATAAGTGAATAAGTGAATAAGTGAATAAGTAAAGATATACAAATCCACGCGCACACACACACCTGGCAGCGGTGGCTTCACTCGTTGCCTTCAGGCCACAGAACATCGATGCGCTGCAGAATGCAGGCGTCATGGCCCTCCTGAGGCGGACTTGCCCGGTGCCAACTCTTTTGGGACGCCGAGTTGCCCAGACTTGCCCGGTGCCCAGCTCTGGCTCCGCACACCACTCAAATGGACAAAAGGAGATTTCCTCTGATGATGTTGGTTGGGTTTCATGGTGTGCATGTGCCAAGGAGGTGGTTTCCTTCCATCTCCTTTCGAACCAACCTTCAAAGGGCCCTGCCTTCAAGGGTGTGTTTTTCTCATGGCTTCCATGTCCATCTGCCGGAGGCATCCGGGGTGGGTGCCGGGGAGAGGTGGTTCCACAGGAGTCCCCATATTTCCAAGCATCACCTTTGGGCCAAGATGAATTTCCTGTTGATAACTCAGGAAGAGTTGCAAGGCATGTGTTTTGTGATTGTTTTTTTGGGGTTTCAAGTGACACCATGAAAACCATATCGAAGGGTCTTGTCCTCATGGCTGGGGGGGAGGGATGGGGGCGAGGGGGTGCACGTTAGCCCTAAGCCCCTGATAAGAAGCCTTATTTGACAGGGCTCCTTAAAAGATCTCCATTTTGCAACCATTTGAAACATGGCTTTTTCCACCAAAATAAAGGGAACCCACCATTTACAAGGCAATGTTCAGGTGTATAATGTAAGGATCCTTATTTGACCTCCTGTGCCTCGGCCCCGGAAGGTCCCGTATTTTGACATACTGTGGATGGTTGCGCAATCCGTTCGCACCACGGAATGACACCAAAATCGTTTCAGAAAAACAGGGGGTACTGAGTTCGGTGGTGCTTGGTCTCGGATTTCGTCCATCCGTCCAATGTGTCCCTTTTTTCGGTTAGTTCGGTTAGAACTGCCCTCGATTTTTCGAGCAAATCAACCAAGAAGGACACCTATGTGGATAGCCCTGAACGAAGCCTCGACAAGTCACCTACAAGGAACAGCTCGCGGGCACCTAGTGTGGAGTCACCTAGAAGGATCACCTAAAACTTTAGACATCGATTCCTGGTTTATTTGGTGGTTCAATCAACTACTTAAGAAGCCTCAACCCCCCCCTTTACCCCCAAGCCTTGGGGGCAAAAGGGAGGGGGGAGATTGGGAAACGAGGGCTCCCCCCCCCCTTCCCGAAGCTTCCCCAAGGCTTCCGGAAGCTTCCGCAAGGCTTCTGGAAGCTTCCGGAAGCCTTGCGGAAGACTTGCGGAGTTCTGAAGCTTCGGGGGAGCGGACGGGAAGGGCAGGGGGCCGGGGAAGGAAGGGGTGAGGAGGACTAGCATGAGCGTAGTGGTGGGTGTCATTTTCCAGCGCTTGTTGCGCCGCCAGTCAGTGGGGAACCCTTTGCGAGCAAAATACTTTAACAGTGCTATCACACTCCAATAGCAGTGCTATAGCATGTCTCAAGAAGGGTAAGGTAAATTACCAGGGCCATCTATTTTCAACCAAAAAGGACCCCTTCTGGCCATCCACGGTTTTCCATCTGGCCGCAACCGGCCGCCCCCCGAACCCCGCCGCGACCGGCCGGTTCGCCGCGAGCCCCGCGAGGCCGCTGCTGCTGGACACCGTGGCCTCCATTCAGCAGAGCGCCGCCCTGGCGCTGGGGCGGCTGGCCAACTTCTCGGAGCAGCTGGCGGAGTCGGCCGGGGGCGGAGGGGGCGGGGTCGGAGGGGTCCGAGGGGGTGGAGTCGGGGAGTCGGCCGGGCGAGCGGGGATTGAAGAATTGCGGGGTTCCCCCCCTCTCAAGCAAAAAAGACAGAAAACAAACACACACACACAAACAAACAAACAAACACACAAACAAACAAAAAAGAAAGCAAGCAAGCAAGCAAGCAAACAAACAAACAAACAAACAAACAAACCAACACACAAACACAAACACAAACACAAACACAAACGCAAACGCAGACACAGACACAAACACAAACACAAACTCAAACACAAACACAAAAACAAGAACAAACAAACAATGACAAACACAAACACACAAACAAGAACAAACAAACAATGACAAACACAAACACACAGACACTCAAACACACACACACACAAAAACAAACACACAAACACAAACAAACAAACACACAAACACTCAAACACGCAAACACACAAACACACAAACACACACACACAAACACACAAACACACAAACACAAACACACACACACAAACACACACACACACAAAACACACACACACACACACACACACACACACACACACACACACACCACACAACACACAACACACAACACACAACACACAACACACAACACACAACACACAACACACAACACACAACACACAACACACAACACACAACACACAACACACAACACACAACACACAACAGCACACAGCACACAGCACACAACACACAAATACACAAACACACAACACACAACACACAACACACAACA